TCCTCTATAACTTGAGTTATGTGGTGATTGAGTTCTTGTATAATTTGTATTGATCGGGAGTGGATTTCCTGAACTGTTGTTGCTGTATACATTTTTGTTCGGTAGATTTTGATCTTTCTTCATGTACTGATAGAATGATTTATTTGGTTCTTTATATTTTTGAGGTTTATTTTGATTGTCTTGCTGTTTTTGTCTACATTCAGAAATACTATGTCCATATCGTCGGCAATAGTTACACCATTTTTTGAAAGATGGTTTGCCTTTAAAGTTTGGGTGTTTTTCATAAATATTGAGTATTTCAGTGATTTTTTCAACGAGGTCTGTATCTGATTCCTGTATATTGTTGATATTTGTGGAATTTGTTTCAATTCGGTTAACATATTGTAATTTCAGATTTTCTGTTTCTTCGAGTTTCATTGTGATTTCCGCTTGTTCTAGTTTGTCTACTAGTTTTCGAAAATCTAAATCGGATTCTCGAATTGAGGAGGGATGGGATGCTCTCTTTTTTATTGCTATTTTCCTTAATTGCGGTGTTAAGGTCATCATTAAGATTTCTGTCATTTTTGTGTTTCTATAGTCGTGTGTATTTAATGAATATGCTTTTCGAACTAGTGTTTCGATGCGTACTGCTAATTGCTTGATGGTTTCATTTGGTAATCTGCGAATTTCATTACATAAAACTCTTTGTTGTTGTTTGTTTCTTTCGGAGTCAAACATTTTTGAAAATTCTTGTGTAAACCTTTTCCAATTTGATTTTATTTCTATAGGCAATACTGAAAACCATTTTTGGGCTGCGCCGTCTAAGGTTGCCTGTATCAACGCTGTGCGTCGATGTATCCAGTTTTGATGTAGTGGCGTATTAATTGGTTCAGGTCCTATATTTAAAATCAAATTTGCTGTTACTGCATTTAAATAATCTTCTACAGAATATTCAGGGTCTGTTCCTGTAAATACCATTAAAGGTTTGTTTGATGTTATTGATGATCCACCCATAAGGTATGGATTCATTGTCATTTGTAATGATTCTGCTGCATTTGGCATTTGAGAAAAATTTGAAAGTTGATTTCTTGTTATTTCGTGTTGTTGAAGATAATATGGGAGTGGTATTTCATTTTGCATTTGTGTTGGTTGATACGAGTGTGTGATCATTGGGTTTTGTTGCTGAATTGGTTGAAAAGATTGTGTATTAATTGGGTTTTGTGTTTGGATTGGTTGTTGATTTTGTGTATCTATCGGTTGTGGAGAAAAAATTCTATGATTTGTATGTGGTTTCTGTACTCCTTGTCCACGATATTCTTGATTATATGGTGCAAATATATCTGGTTGTAAAAAATCATCATCTGAGGATAAGTAATCCATTTGATAAGATGTTTGTTTTTTATTCTTATTTTGTTGAAAAAATGGATAATTTTCACTACGAACCTGTGGAGGATGTGATTTTGTTTGAAAATTTACTGAATTGGTTGATGCCATTGGGTTATCCCAGTTTCGAGATCTTATATGATTATTAGTATTTTTTCATGGGGGATAGTTTGTTTTTGATGGATGTGTGTAATTATAATTATGTTCTGCAAAATTGTTTCTAGTGAACGTTTTACGTGTTTTTGACGGTATTGTCATGGGTCTGTATGTTTGATAATCCATGTGTGAATATTTTGGGGCAACCGAAGGTTTAACGGTTGATTGCAAGGTTACCTGTGTTTGTGAAGGGTTTGTATTTCTTGGTGTTGTTAAATTTGGACGTATCGGTGAAATGCTTTGTTGTGTAGTTGTTGTGTGTACGATTTCTTCATTTATGAAGTGTGATGGTGTCTGGATATCTTGTTGAGTGAGATTCCTAGTTCCATTGAGGTTTTCATTGTGTATGACTGTGGAGTTTAAACTATTATTTTGCATATCAGGTAAAAATGTATTATAGTTTAATGGTGTTGCATCAATGGTTAATGGTATTACTCTTACATAATCTCTTACATAAGATATCGTACTTATTGCTTGACTTGAGATTGATTGCGGGAAGTTTATGAATGCGGGATGAGACCATTCGGGGTCCCAAACATAGTCTGACTGTTCTGTGATGGCAGTATCATCGTTTCAGTTTTGAGGTCTAAAATTTTTTCTTGCTTGTGAAATTAAATCAATATTATGTGTGAAATAATCTATTATAAACCATGCCAAAATTTTTTGTAAGTCATGTTTTGTATGTGGTGAAACTTCATCTTTAGTGAAATTTTCTTGAATTATATTTAGAAAACTAGAGAGTAGTGTGATTTCATGTCGTACTCTTATATGTTTAGATGTTTCTGTCGGTGAGACATTTGGATTTGGGATTTCGTTTTCTAATATCGAGATATAACTATATATTATTGCAAAAACTTCATTGGTGAATATGGAGTTTGCTCTTTGTGAGTTATGATATTGTATGCTTTTTATATATTCTGAGAATACTTTTGAAAATTCTAAATCAAGGTCGTCTGTTTGAATTACATATTTGCTGTGATTCTGGTTTGGTGAGCTGAATTCTATGGAGTAGTTTCCGTATTGTTGTGTTAAGTTACATATATCTTTCAGATAGTGATCGATAATTTGTCTTTTGATTTTTACATCTGGGAACTCTGTTTTACATGGGCTGATTCCGGGTTCAAACAAATTTAAGAGTAAAATCTTGCAAAATATATGCTGTCCTCTATCATTGTTTGCATCTACAATGAAGGGGAAGATATCATCATCATCTGGACTTTCTTCACCTGGGGTGTGCGTTGAGCTCATTTTTTTGTTTGATGACTGTTAATATGTAATTATCGATGTGTCTAATTGGTTGATTCCAATTGTATAAGTGTACTGGTTTGTGTTTATATTGCTTTTTTATTCTTCTTTTTCCTCTTTTTGATGAATTTGAAGTTGTTTCTGAGTCGGAAAAATATAATTGATCGTGAATTGGGCAATTTTTATCTATTGATTCTTTTAATTTATAAAGTTCGTCTAAACTGCTGGTTTCTGATTCTGAAAATGCGTTTCGGTTTTTGGAAAATCTTTTTCGTGTTATTTGTCTTTGTTTGGTTATTATTTTTCTTTTTAGTGTTTGTCGTTTTGTTCTAATATATCCAACTGTTTGTGTATGAGGTGTGATTACAAGGTCGTATTTTTTGTTATCTATCTCACAATTGTGTAAAACGATTGTTTGTTTATTTCCTAGGTTTTTAAATGACATAAGGTTTAGGATGACGGATGCAAAAGGTTGTTAAATGATTTCTATTTTCTTAGACTGTTAGTCCTTACGATTTTTTGGTTAGCTTAACCTGGGTTTATTTGTTCAGGGTTGGAGAGAAAAGTATATCGATTCCGAAGAATGATTTTTTACTTTCTCGTGGCTAGTATAAGCTAAGGTGTTAACTTACTTAATCTTACTTAAGGGTAGTGATTGTGTTCAAGGGTTGGAGAATAGTAAATCGATCCACAAGGTTCAGGTATAATTAGAACGCGAGTAGTTCGTTAGATACTATTTTAAACTTACTAAGTCTAAGATTTATCCTGGGTCTGGTAAGAGGGGGGATCAAGTGAAGGATGAATAACCGAAGTTCTTCACTGTTTGTCCTAATTTGAATGATTAGTTTTGTTCAAAAATTTCTATTAGTCCTGGGTTTGTAGAAAGGGTTGGATAGTGAATCGACGTTTGAGGTCGTTAGACACTAGCTAAGTGGGTGGGGAGAACAAAATTGTTCTTTGTGATCCAAGGATAGGCCTTGATGATCAAGTTTTAAATTTAATTAAATAGAAAATGATTTAAGATCCAAGGATAAGCCTTGATGATCTGGTTTTAAAATTAGGTGAATTTAAGTTTAAAATGATTTAAATTTGTGTAAAGAAAAGATTTAGTGTTTTTATGATATTAGTGAGCTTATGAATGCTGTTATGTTTAGGTGATGAAGCTGGAACAAGAGGATGATTTATGATTACTAACCGTTTATTGTCATGCTACTAATTTTTATTTTGATTTTTCAATAAATATTTTTCAAACATGTTTTGTATATTACTGCAGAATTTAGGAAAACGATCTGAGATCTTTTTATCAATCGTTATTGTATATTAATAATTTTGTTTAGCGCCTGAAATGATTATGAAGATTGACTCAAGATTTTATGTCTGCAAATGAAAATCTAAATTCATTGCTAATAAAATTCTAAATACAAAAGTTTGTGTTGGCTTTTGCCGAACTATCATATAACTATATGGTAAGTTTCTACTTTGTCGTATGTCGTCTCTGGTTCGAGGTCTTCTTCCAATTCCGGGTAGTTCTGTTATCGTTCGGAATATTGGCTCTGATCTATTGAGTCGTAGAGACATTTCGATTAAATTATCGTCGTATAACATTTTGTAAATGTTTTGTCTAATTTCTAATCTATTATTGGTTAATTCTAAGCTACTAAGGTCTTGTTCGAGACTTATGGTCGCACCAGATGAGTTAGGACCGATGTGGTTAACTCATAGAGTAATTTCGGATAGGGTACACCGTCTGCTCGTCACGCTATCTTATTTTCGGCCGGATAGATTCGTGCAACTTCTTAGTCTAATACCGATCCTAATCTTACTCTTATACTTATCTAGTCTCAGGTTGTTTAACTAGTCTCTGCTAGGCTCAATAGATCTAGGGTATACTGGTTTATTGCGGCTGCTGAAGTTCTCGGGAGAGTCCAACTAATTTCTAAGTTAAATTCAAATCTCTCTGGTGCTGAAATTACAAGTAATTTCAGCACTTACAAATAAGTGGATTGTTAGTCAGATGGATCATGATTGGTTAATATTAAATACTTTACATTGGTAAAATATCTAATTTATCCAATCATAAAATGTAGTTTAGATCAGGTTCCAAAATCTCTAACATACTTAAGTTTGACCTTGCTAAATAAGCAGTCTGATTCAAGTTAAATTTTGGTTATGTCTATGAAATTCCAAAAAGTTTACTTTTTGAATGCTATAACTTATGACTACCCAAATGTATGTAGATCCCTTGCAGAAGAACCTTGGCGCCTACTTCGGCAGCTTCTGGAACTGGATCGACGTCCTGGCCATCCTGCTGTTTGTGCCAGGGGCAGTGCTGCGCTGGTTCTTCTATGACGGCAACACTCCGAGTGAGGCGGAGGATCTGCAGATCGCGGCCAGGAGTCTCTACATCTTCAGTCTGCTCAGTTTCATGATGCGTCTGGTGCACTGTCTCAGTCTCTCGGAGACCATAGGCCCAAAGATACTCATGCTCAGCAAAATGGTAACATCAGAGTTCTTGGAATTCAAATATTGCAAGACTCTTGTTAAGGAATGCAAATCATGCAAAAATCTTAGCGGTAAAAAGTTTAAACATTCCGAAATAACTGATTTAGCGGTAATTGCTATGAACATACAGTTTTAGTTTTCTCGTAGGTGTTTTTTGACAAGGCAAGCCTTACAATGTTCTGATATGATAAGTAGTTTCCGCTTAGGTGAGTATTCACAGAGCCGTACACTCGAATAGACGAAAAAAATTCGAAAATAAAGTCGGCCAAACACTTATTCACTTCACTAAAACTCTCGCGCATAATATAAACACAGCTAAGAATAGCAGGACAATCGTTCGATTAACGGCTTTCGGGTCAAAAAATGTGGTACTAATTGGCGTGACAAAATCTCAATCATGAAAAATGCAGTTTTATTTCATATGATTATCAGCATTCATGCTTAAAATTTGATCTGTTTAATATTTGGCACTAAATTATGATTTCAATAAATTATTACTGCTAAGTTAAAACCTTTCTTCAAACTTTTGACTTCTCTTTTTGTTGTTGGCGGCTCCAACTTTCGCAGAAGTTTGTTTTCCTTTTTATAATTAGATTTTTTCCTTGGGTGTACTGTTTGTTTGTTACAAATTGTTTGTCTTCACATTTATTTGCTTGTTTGTTTTTCAGACTGGCGACCTGGTGTTCTTCGTTGTGAGTCTTGTGGTGTTCATGTTCTCGTTCGGGACAGCCATTAATGCCTTCCTCTACCCCACAATGGGCCGCAACATCCCCTCAGACTCGACCTTCGTGGAACATGTGATCAGGAGCATAGTGGACCACACCTACTGGCCCGCCTTCGGAGAAGTGTACCAAGTGGCGGCCGAGATGGGCAGTAAGTACTGTACAAAAGATCTCACGAGTATAGACCAAAAGGTCTCACGGCAATTTTTAAGGCTATTATTGCAATCATTAAAGATAATGTTTTTGTAATCATACTTAATGCCATTCGCGCTAGGAAAGTTGAATATTATTTTGATTATTTTTGATAATGAAAGTTTTTTTACTTAAAAAACAAATTTGATGAAGTTTTGAATCTTGATTGTTATTTTACCCCCCCCCCCCCCATTCTTTTATCCTTTATATTTTATCCACAATATTTTTCTTCATATTTTGAACCCCCCCCCACACACACACACTATATGCTATGAAAAGGACAAAGTAATGCATGACACAATTCAATTTGGAACTATCTACTTTGACGCTTACGCTTTAATATCACGAAATATATCGCGCGCTAATTATGCCAACTTGGCAGTTTTCAAATCCCTATAACTTAACAAAAAATCACAGGTAAAATACCCACACGATATTTAAAAAAATCTGTTTTCAATAGCTAGTTAAAGGATCAAAAGTTGTCTGGAGAGATAAAACCACCCCAAACACAAATATATAATTTTTTTTCTGCAAAACGAAACAACAATACTGCTCTCATCAGGGTATAAACCTGAATTTTCCGACTGTTCTTGAGTTTTAAAAAAAATTAAAAGTTAGTGATATTGTTTACTGATTCAAATAACCCCTGCACGTTGTTTAACAAAGAAAGTGATGTAGTTGTTCCGAATTTCGAAGAAAATGGAATATTTATGCTCTAGGTGGTTTTTATATTCAGTCAATTTTCAGCGATCGAAATTTTAATTTTTAACAAAAATTTTCCCGAGCCCATTAGAAATATCGACTCCCCAATTTTAAAAAGATATTTGACCTCTGATGAATTTTTGCTTAGTTTTGGGAGTTTGAAATTTGCCAAATTGGCCATCCTCTGGACTAGTTTATGAAGATTTGAAAATTTTTTTTTCATAATGCTGATAGCGTAGCGCGAAATTTTTATGCCTCGCAATTTATCTCGCTCAACAAAACCGTTTCAATTTGAGTTGAGGCTAGCTAAGCTAATCGACTGTAAGAATTTTGAACTACTTAAAACTTTCACACATGATCTTTGATATTGTCCAAACTTTATATTTTTTGATGTTTTCTTGTCCCAAAAGCTGTTCGATATGGATTAGGGGCAGTCTTGTTTGCTTCTAGGAACGTATTGATAAAATAGAACAACTTGTAACTATTTAACTTAGAAGGATATCGAAAAAAAAGCATTCCAATTGTAAAAGTTCCGCCAAAGGCATCAAAAAACAGCTCTTCTTCAGGTTTGATTTCCAATTTTTTCCAATGGGTCCTGATTTTGTAGTAGCTTACGACATCTACTTTTGGCCGACCAAACCAACCCTGAGATGTTTCTGAAAGCGCCTTGAGCGCTAATATGAGCGCCAATCAAACTGCCGAGTGAACGCACCTTGTAAAAAAGCCCACAAAATCATCTTGCCCGCTTTTTAAAAACTTAGTCAATATATAAATTGACCTAATTGACATTCTAGTGTGATGAATGAATGTACTGCAAAAACTTTTTAAATTTTTCGAAAAAAGTTTTTTACGTAGAAAACATTTTTCAAAGAGTTTAAACAGATTTTGCTGCCCAACTTTTTTGGACAATTTGAACTTCTCGAAAACGTATTAGTACGAAGACAACTTTGTTCAGAGAAATTAAACAGACTTTGCAGCCCAATCATCATATTAATGAAAACTCAATTAAATAACCTTTTATTGTTCCACTTTTACAAAAATCCGGTCCATCTGGGGATCGCATTATTGATCAATATGCCGCCAGCCGAGTGTGCACACCACTATAGTAACCTGCCATGCTTAATGGTAAAACTGCTTGTTGTTCCGATTTTCGAAAAAAAAGTGGGGAAATTATGTCCCCGGGTTTGATTTTTTTTTTATTCAGACCAATTTTAGAAAAGTTGACCGTTTATTTGCATCGGCCCGGAAATCTTGTGTTTTCGAAGCGAGTTTGCTTGCACGTGACTCAAATGCGGCTTTGCTGCTGGAATATTACTTTGAAAGTTTGTTTCAATATGCAAAAAACTTATGCGTGGCAATTTATCGGCATTCATGATCGTTCCAAATTGAATTGAGGCAAGTTAATTGGTCTTATTAATTCCATAAACGACTCAAATTTTAACTTGTTGACATTATCAGTCTAAAATTTTTAATTTGACTATATTTTATATACCAAAAACGATTCGATACCAATTAATGGGCAGTCGGAACATACAAGGCTTTGCCTTGATACGAGCAGCAGTTTTTTTATTATCCCGCTCTACAAAATCGCTCCAAATTGAACTGAAGCAGCTAATTGGTTTTATGAACTCAAACCATACACGACCCAAACTGCATCACTTAATTTTGGATATTATCAGCCTAAAATTTATAGTTTGCCAATATTTAATTTACCAAAAACTACCCGAGACAAATTAAAGGGCAGTTGGAACATTCGGGGCTATGACTTGATATGAGCAGTCTTGTTCTAAATATCGACGAAGTTCTTATCCTTAGAAATGTTTCAGTTCCGAGTGATTGTGACCCGAGTGTGTCTCCGTATGGAGGGTGTCAGTCAAGCGAGACCTATGAGTTCCTGGCAGCCTGTGTGTATGCAGTCTACGTCTTCCTCGTCAACTTCGTCCTTGTCAACCTCCTTGTCGCCATGATGGTGTAAGCATTCCAATTGAAACATCCTCATTTATTTCGGTTTCCTTTTTGGCGTACAAATGTTTAACAGAAAACAAAAAGACGAATCAAAGGAAAAAATTATCAACCAATTTTATACAGTTTTTGCAACATTGAGCATAATTTCAGTCTTCAGCTTGTTCAAAAAAGTGTTTTTGGCTCACAATTTCTTTATTTTACAATTTCTTTGTTGCACAATTGTGGAGCCGAAAAGTGTTTTTGGCTCACAATTTATTTTGTAAAATAAAAAAAACGAAAAAATTCAAAAAAAAACTTGTTACAAACGAATGATTTTTTTTGTATCTTTCAGGTACAGTTTCAACAAAACGCAGAAAGATGCAGACGAGGAGTACAAAATAGAGAAGTTTAGGTTCCAGAAGGAATTCTACCACAAGCCCCCCTTGCCCCTCCCTCTCTCCCCCCTAATAATCATCTACAGGGCCGTCAATGTCCTCTACCTCAAGGCCACCAAGAAATATTCCAGATGCTGTGAGTCAGAGAATTGTAAAAATGATTTGTTTTGGGGGAAAAATAACTGGCTTTTTTTTCGAGTTCTGTAATCTCAATCAAAGTAATACCGATGTCATTTTTTTTCGCTTGCATTTGGTGTTGTCTTTTTTTCGCCTGAAAATGATGTCAATGTCTTTTTTTCTAAGTTGCAGCGCTTGAAACCCGACTTTACGGTCTGATAGCGTCCTCCCAACCTAATCAATTGGAAATTAGGAGTCAAATTTTTGCTTATCTTCGTTCATCTATTTCGTTTCATTCCAAGTTAAAGTCAAACTTTTGCTTATCTTCGTTTCATCTATTTTTTAATATCAAAATTTGATGCTAATTTAAAACTATTTCTCACAATAAAAATTCTATAGAATTCGATTAGAAAAAAAACTAATAAGTTCACTATAAAAAAGCAGTGTGTTAGCTTATAAGGAGTGCAAATGTGTAGCTATGGCCATCTACGTGTGGGAGCGGCAGAATAAGCGGGACATGTTGGTTGTGGAGGAGGAGAGGAGGGAGAAGGAGGCTGGCACGGGACAGAGACTCTCCTCAATTGAGGACAGACTGAACTACTTAGTGAGCAAAGTGGAGGGCAGCGAAGAGACGCGCAGGACACAGTTGAGGTATCTTCATTGTTAAATAGTAATTCAAAACAGGCATAGTCACTTTATTTTTCCAATTCCGAGACTTTTCGATAAAAAGAGAGAAAAAAATGACCAACATTAAATATTTCGTCTTTTTCAAGCCATTGCTAAACTAGCATTCAAAACAATCATTATCGTTATTTTCATAAGTCACTTTACGACAATATGAGGTAGAAAATTAACAAGAATTAATTGTGTCGTAATTTTTTTCTGTAATTTTTGTGTCTTTTTAGTGTCGGAAGAAGTGGATCAAATGTGAAAATAAGCATTTGAAAGGATTCTAATTTATTGCTTGAGCAATCTTGAAAAAATAAATTACCCTGAAGAACAAATATCCAAAGAAAAATGGGTTTTTTAAAATTTTTGCTCCAAATTATTGTTAAATTGACCGGTTTATTTCATATGTCGAACTTTTTGAATCTTTTTTGTAAAGCTTGAATCATCAATTGCTGGCTTTTTTGCTTAGAAAAACGTTTCAGTCGAACTGTTTATGTATAATTAGATACAAATTATTGCCTTAGTAAGTTAGTTTCCTCTTTGGTAACTGTTTAGGGATAATTAGATACAAACTAGTGTCAAAGTAAGTCAGTTTCCTCTTTAGGAACTGTTTAGGTATAACTAGATACAAATTATTGCCAAAGTAAGTTAGTTTCCTCTTTAAGAACTGTTTAGGTATAATTAGATACAAATTATTGCCTTAGTAAGTTAGTTTCCTCTTTGGTAACAGTTTAGGTGTAATAAGATACAAATTATTGTCAAAGTAAATTGTTTTCCTCTCTGGTATTTGTTCAGGTATAGTTAGATACAAACTATTGCCAAAGTAAGTCAGTTTCCTCATTGGGAACTGTTTAGGTATAATTAGATACAAATTATTGCCTTAGTAAGTTAGTTTCCTCTTTGGTAACTGTTTAGGTGTAATTAGATACAAATTATTGCCTTAGTAAGTTAGTTTCCTCTCTGGTAATTGTTCAGGTATAATTAGATACAAACTATTGCCAAAGTAAGTTAGTTTCCTCTTTAGGAACTGTTTAGGTATAATTAGATACAAATTATTGCCAAAGTAAGTTAGTTTCTTCTTCAGTAACTGTTTAGGTGTAATTAGATACAAATTATTGCCTAAGTAAATTATTTTTCTCTCTGGTAACTGTTTAGGTATAATTAGACACAAACTATTGCCAAAGTAAGTTAGTTTCCTCTTGTTAAATGTTTAGGTATAATTAGATACAAATTATTGCCAAAGTAGGTTAGTTTCCTCTTTGGTAACTGTTTAGGTATATTTAGATACAAACTATTGCCAAAGTAAATTAGTTTCCTCTTTGGTAACTGTTTAGGTGTAATTAGATACAAATTATTGCCTTAGTAAGTTAGTTTCCACTTTGGTAACTGTTTAGGTGTAATTAGATACAAATTATTGCCTATGTAAATTATTTTCCTCTCTGGTAACTGTTTAGGTATAATTAGGTACAAATTTTTGCCTTAGTAAGTTATTTTCCTCTCTGCTAACTGTTTAGCTATAATTAGATACAAACTATTGCCAAAGTAAGTTACTTTCCTCTTTGGCAACTGTTTAGGTGTAATTAGATACAAATTATTGCCTCAGTAAATTATTTTCCTCTCTGGTAACTGTTTAGGTATACTTAGATACAAATTATTGCCTTAGTAAGTTATTTTCCTCTCTGGTAACTGTTTAGGTATAATTTGATACAAACTATTGCCAAAGTAAGTTAGTTTCCTCTTTGGTTACTGTTTAGGTATAATTAGATACAAATTATTGCCTAAGTAAGTTATGTTCCGCTCTGGTAACTCTTTAGGTAAAATTAGATACAAATTATTGCCGAAGTAAGTAATGCTCCACTCTGGTAAGGTTTTTCTTTTAGTTTAGGTTACATTTTCAACTTTTTGTTCCGATTTTTGAAGAAAATGACCAAAAATTTGTGCGCAGGATGGTTTTTTCGCCCGATTTCTTTTCTCTAGACAGAATTTTTTCTTTATCATTTGAAAATTTAAAGTTCTGATCTGAAATTTAAAAAAATCTTTCACTTGACAATTTATCACAAAAATAAGGGCTTTGAAAACTGCCAATCTGAATAGATTTTAGGATGAATAATGCTTGCTATTAATGGGCAGTGTAAGCGACAAAACAATCTCAAAAAAAGGGGCCAAACTGCAAGGATTTTTTGAGTTGTTAGTGGACTCCGCGACATCTTGAAAATAGGTTCGTTGCGGAAACGACAATATTGTTGTTTTTTTTTCATTCTTTTTACTGTTTTGAATTTCAAAAGCAAATGTATAAAACAGTGGATTGCTAAAAGCATTAAAAAGCGCGAAATCCTAATCAACGTTTGCGGAAAACTGGAACAGCTTGTAGAACCCATAAACAAGCTTGTATTCATTAATTGCATTATTCAGTAATTTTTAGGAAATGATTGCGTACATTTTCAGAATCCGCGTACAATCTCCGGATTTTATCACGTTATTACAATTTACATTCTAGTTTGGCACATTTTCGTTAAATTTGTTGAACCCGCCTGAATTTTGGGCCGCCAAATTACAATTTGCGGAGTTCACGTTTGAAGACTTGTCGCTAGATTCCAGCAACCTGCTCACACAAAACAGTTAATGTATTCAACGATGCACAGTTTAGTCTCGTAATGACCAGCAAATCATTCGAAGTCGCAACAATGTAGATCACTTATCATTGAAAGAGCACCAACTTGAGTGAGCGCAGAAGATAGTTCAACCTGTTGAAGCGCCACTGAGAAATTTCTAATAAAAATTATCTTCTATGGACATAAACGGTTATTCTATGTACAATTTAACCAGACAAAAAATTATAGATAAACAAATGTACTGCTATTTCCAAATATTATAGTTAATTTATCTTAAATCTTGTAAAAAATTTCTAAAGAATATATAATAGCAAAAGAAGAATTCAAAAACACAAATTTCAGACCTGGTATGTTTTTTTATTTTAGCTGCTTAATTGCAATTTTTACTATATTTGTTTTGAAATTTTTGTTTTGAAATTTACAAAAATTCAGATATGAAATTTTTGTTTTGACATATTGTTTTTATTGTTGTTAGTGATTTTACTTTTCTAGTGGCATCGAGTGATTTGTCTAAGTCTTGTTTTGAAACAAAATTTTTCACTTTGTCATTTCTATGTTCTCGTCTGATTACTTCAGAGAGAAATTTTAGTAGTGCAAATGAGTGTAGTGTAATTCATTGATTCAACAAATTCCCTTCATTTTTCTTATGGTTTTTAATTATTGTGTTTTTTGGAGGCGAAACGCAATTCGAACTGAAAAATTTTCTTGTGCTTGAAGATTTCGTAAAGTGGTACTATTGACAGCTTTATTTACTAAAATTCCATAGTGATATATTCGTTGTATAAAATGCTCATATAATCTAGTGAGGACAGATGAGCTGAGAAACTGTCCTGTTTGAACAAAAAACTGAAAATAATCTATTGCTTTTTCTTCTTACTGTCTCAATATAATGGTTCAAGGTAAAATTTTGATCCAAAGAGAAACCCAAGTATTTAACTGCAGTTTTTGTTTCTATAGCGTTGTTTTTCCAGGTAAATCTTTCAAAGTTTTTTAGTCACTTAGTAATCATTATTTGTGTGTTTTCTTTGTTTGCTGTAAGTTTTTATTTTCCATCCATTCTGATTTTAATTTTAAATCTGTCTTAACTTCTGTAACTTCATTTATTGTTCCAAAAAAATTATCGTCATCGGCAAAACGAATGAATTCACTGTGCTGTGATATGTTGGGAAGATCATTGATATAATTAAGAAAAAGCAGGGGACCCGAAACAAAAGCTTGAGGTATCCCCCCACGAAGCTTCTCGGTTGTTGAATTTTTAGTTGAATGAAATACATAAAGTTTTCTATTGCTGAGTTATGATTGTAATAAAACAACAAGAACGCCCCTCAGTGCGTAACACCTGTAAGTGAGAGAGTTATGATCAACAGTATCGGAAGGCTTAGATAGATCCAAGTAAATGCAGTGCGCTAATTTATCAGTATCTTTGCTTTCAATAAGACCCTCCTAGTTTTCCTAGAAGCATCAATTTTAGAGCGTTTATTGTGAAATCCGAGCGGTTTATGGCTTATGAAGTCATGATTATTGAAAAAAAAAATTATTTTTATCGATAAAATTTCTCAACAGTTTTTCCTTTAACAGGAATAGTAGAAATAGGTCTTTAATTGCATGGAAATGACTCTTCTCTTTCTATGAAACTAGAAACTAGTTTTGGTGTTTTCAGGAATCAGGGATAAACTGCTGTGCTAATATGTGGTTGAAAATAATGATCAAATGAGCTGTTATAATAGAATTAATTAGTTTGATCACGTAATTTGACACACCCATGTAATCTTTAGATTTTTTGTTGGGAAATTGTTTTATTGTGTCATAAATTTCCTATTCATCAATTGGTGATAGGAAGAAAGAATAATTTTTATTTGCAATAGGTTTGGAAAATCTTTTTTTAAATTCCAGATTACAACTCTGGGCCGATTGTGACAAAGTAGTTGTTCAATTCTTGTGCATTTATTTGTTTTATTTTTCAATTTTTAAACAGTTTTTTGTTTTATTGCCTTTAATTTGTTTTCTATTAGCTATATTTTTTATTGATACCTTTTTTTTGACTCTGACAGTTTGCTGTTTCTGTTTTTGTTTGTCTCCTCTAAATTTTTCTGATTTTGATATATTTCAATAATTTGCGTTTTTGAGCACTCGATGTCCAGCTTTTTTGTCTTCCTTGTTGACAACGGTAATATTGCTTCCAGAGTGTTTTGTAGTTGCTGCTGCAAAAACTCAATTTTTTCAACGCTACCGATTTCTCTATCTTCGAATTTCATTTCGACTAGTTTGTGATGTAAAAACCAATTGAACTTAATTTTGATTTCTTGGTTTTCCAGTTTTCCATAATTTCTATAGTAAAATCCTTCGTTTTCACTTTTTTATAAGGCCAACGTTAAATTCAACTTCAACTTCAACACCATAATTATCAGTGGTTACGTGTTCAATATTTTTACTGGTGCATGGAAAGTTTACAAAGGCCAAATCTAGGGGTGTTTGATTGTTCTGTGTGACTCGTGTGCTTTCATTTTGTCCAGATATCAGATATCAGATATTCAGGCAGTTCCATTTTTTCAAGGAGTTGCGTACTATTTTGTGTAACATGAGAAATAATTAATTCATTTTAAGTGATTTATCTCGCATCTGAGCAAAAGTATTTATTTTTTCACGTTATTAATTGCTAGCCAAAAACATTTCAGATACTTTAAAAGAGAGTCAAAAATCTCTAGGCTCTGCGTTAACACGGGCAGTTATTTGCTGGATTTCACGAACAAAAAAATATTTAATTGTGGCCAGTCATCATTTCTTTATGGGATCCGTCGATTCTGCTTCCAAAACATTGAAACTATTTCTGTTGAGCTTTGACATGGTTGCGATTTTTGTGGTGAATTGAAAAACCGAGCTTGTTTTTGAAAGGACGATGGATAGCATTGTAGGGAAAAAAGTGAAACTGTGAGGTATATCCGTCCAACTTTGTATAAAATATCATTTTTTTTACTTATTACAATATTATATTAATATTAGAAAGGTAATGATAGTTCTAGCAAGAGTCTATCAGAAAAGAATGTAGTAAAACTGATGTTGTGGTTTTGCGTTGTGTAGTGTTATGGAGAGTCTGCAGACGCTGCAGAAGAGTATCAATGACATGAGTGTGTTGGTCACTGCCATCCTGCCCCCCTCGGCAGTGCAGCAGAGTGGACCCAACAGACGCCACAACCACAAGTACATCAAGGCACTCACCAACATCGAACTCAGTAAGCACACTACAACTTCATTTTAAACATCTTCGATCTAAAATTATTATACACCCAACACGAGCTAGTTTTATCTGTGGGAAGGCTTAAAAAGTTATGCAACGAAAATTTTGATCGGAGCTCTTTAAAAAACACCCAAAAATATTTCAAAATTTGTCCCTTAAATTAAAAAAACGGAAAAAATTCAAAAAATTTCGGCAATTGGCGTACAATGATCACGGAGCATTAAATGAAACTGTCTAGTTTTATGATTTAAGGCTGACACACTCTATAGCTGATAAGAAATGCGTTCTTAATGCAATAAGTTGTGCTTTAATCAATGAAAACGCTTCGTTGAGACTAAAAACCGAGAAAAAAAATTGGATAAAAATTTATCCTATAATCACCAAACGCACTAAGAAACCTCACCAAACGCACTAAGAAACATCAATGAGTTGAAACAATTATCAAATTTTTCTTTGAATTTAAATATGATCGAAAAAAGTATCCAATTTTAGAATCAAAAACTGACGCACTCTGACATACTGTTTGGGTGTTAAGAAATGCATTTAAAACGTATCGTGTTGTGTGTTAATCAGTTAAAAACATTTCATTGAGATTTAATAACGAGAGAAAAATATGGATAAAAAATTATCCTATACTCACCAAATGTTACAATAAACGTCGCCGAGCAATGAATGGTAAAACTTATCAATTTTTTTTGAACTTAAGCCTGATCGAAAAAATAAGGTTTCTAATTGTAAAATTTAAGACTGCACCACTCTGAAATATTCTTTTGATGTTACGAAATGCTCTTTAAACGTAATATTTTGTGTTTTAATCAGTTGAAAGGGCTTTATTGAGACAAAAAAAATGAGAAAAAAATATGGATTAAAAATTATCCTGTAATCACCAAACGCTATATTGAACATCATCAAATATGAATGGAAATATCCATCAAATTCTTCTTGAATTTTATTCTGATTGTAAGAAATGCTTTGAAACGTGTTATGTTGTTTTAATCAGTTGAAAAAATTCAAAAAGTTTAAGCAAGTGGCGTGCACTGATCACGGAGCAAAAAATGAAAATTTTCAGTTTTGTGATTTAAGGTTGACGCACTCTATAACTGTTAAGAAATGCTTTCCTAATGTAATAAGTTGTAATTTAATCAATGAAAACGCTTCAAGGAGACTAAAAAACGAGAAAAAATATGGATAAAACTTTATCCTATAATGAACAAACTTCAGAAAAAAAGGTCACCAAACGCTGCATAGAGATATGTATCCAATTTCATTTTTGACAATCAATCTGATCGGAAAAGTAAGCTTTCCATTTTCATGATTCAAAACTGACGCACTCTGACTTATATTAGGTGTTAACAAAAGCATTCAAAACGTATTAAGTTGCGTTTTAATCAATGAAAACGCTTAGTTGAGAATAAACAACGAGAAATAATCTGGATCAATTTATGTCCCATAATCACCAAACGCCATAGTGTTTAATTTTAAATTCCTGTCAGCCATAAGAATTCCATTGCGATATAAACGTAGTTAGTTGTTCAGAGAGAAAGACTGCTTAGCATGAATCTTGCATAAAAATCACGAGATTTCCAACGTTTTAACTTGTTCTGTAACTTCAGACCCCAATTTAAGTAACTGGATTTTACAAGCAAGTTTAATGAAAAAGGATCTACCTAACAATTAACCTCCCGTTCTATGGTATTTCAAAAAGAATTGCCACCCCTATAAAAAAGCAGTAAGTTGGCATAGAGGGTTGTTTTTAAAATTCGAATTTTGCTTCATGTTGATTGGTCGAAAATTCGATTAAATTAATCTAATTAACAGTTGCCTCTTTTTCATGAGAAAGGATGATAACTGTTAAGTAGATCAATGAAATTTAACTAAAATAAATTAGATTTATTCTTGATATATTTGTTCTTGATATATTTATCAAAAACTGTTTTACATCTAGGATAAAAGTTTTAAAGGCAAAAAGGCAAGTTTGCCGCTCAAACAAAAAAGATACCGTCCAATACAGCTGTTGGAAAAAAATATTGACTGTTCGGGATAAAAGCGTTTTCCGTACAAACTAAAGAACCAACTTGTTTATTAATTTTTCAGAAAATATTCAAAAACTTCTGTTTTGTACGCACAAATAAATCATGATTCTTTTGATTTGATTTGTACACGAAAATCTCAGAATAGCTTTTTTGAAAATTAAAAAAAAACTTTTTTGAATTTACCAGTTGTTTTAAATAGGCTTCAAATTTTTAAAGCATCACTTGACTAAGCTTCTCAGGCCTTCTGATGTCCTTGCATATCAGAATTCAGTAAGTTGACAAAAGTCTATTGAATAATCTGGTCTGAAAACACTTTTTTATTGTTATGATAAGTGCATCCCTCGAAAACGCAAGTTTTAAAGAACGGTCTGCCTTTCTGATGATGACAATCTCAACTAACGAAGAAAACTAAGCAAAAGCGAATTCTAAAGTTTCTTGGGCGTTTAAATTCTTTTTCAGAGAACTAACTATGCTTTAGAGACCCACATATCATACTTTTGCTGACGGGATTTTTTTTCTCAACGCAGCTCAATATTAGCGAAAAAGAGTCAAAATGTAGATGCGCAAAAATTTTTGCCCGAAAATTTTTTTAGTCATCTACCGTTTTACCTGCTTTTTTCTGTTTCCAACCGCACTGTTCATTTGTCTTGAGAATTGACAAAGAAGATCATGAGTTATGTAATTATGGAATTATGTAATTCTCGAGTTATGTAAAAAAGAATATAATTCTTTACAAGGACAAAGAAGATCTTGAATTATGTTTTTAACCCACATGTCAATCTCTTGCAATTTGGACAGCGCAATGAAAATTGAAAAAAAGTGCAGAAGGTAAGGGGTAAATGATATATCATCGAGCGTTTCATGGTCAACTTAATTTTTATACATCGGGTCCGGGTCCGATAGAAAGTCAATTTTGTTTGCTAAGTAACCATATATGAAAGCAAGACTTTTCTTGATCTCCAATAGCTTTTGTTGAAGAAAGTCTTAAATACTTATTTTTTTGGATTGTCAATTTCAAAAAAATATATAATCAATTGGCTTGCCTGATTTCAATTCGGCAAAATCTTTTGTATCCGGCATAGTTATCCGTGTTACCCGTTTTTAAACGAGCAGACGATTGGAATTGGAGCAGAAGTTTGTTCCAGTGTCAATGCCTCGTCTAATTTTAAAAAAAAAAGATGATATGCCAACTAATCGAAAAACAAACAACCCAAAAATAAGGTTACCATTCCAACAAGCCGAAAAATAATATTACTATGCAACATGTCAATTTATTTTCACTGTTACTATGCAATTGTTAAGTAATTCTGATGTAATTTGTGTAATTCTGATCCAACTTTGGCTTCATTACACGGCAAAACTGTGCACTGATAGGTGCACAGATTGGTGATTGTTTGTCTCTGGAATCCAGTGACAAAACTTTGAACATTTCTTTAAATTTTGTCGGAGCAATCAAGAAAAACGAAAGAAGAAAGAAAGAACAAAGTGAGCGTCCCTGTTGCGGTATCCGCTTACAATTCACAAAAAAAACACATTTTAGCCTCTTAATGTTCCAGATGTGGCAGTTTCTAGATATGGTGGCTTATTAGAAATTCGCTGAAAAAACGACGGATTTTTTCGGTTTTACCACCTCCCCCCCCCCCCTAATTAATTAAAAATGAAAAGTAACAGTTTTTTTATTTAAATCGATTCTATCTAGAAATCTCGAGCATTGAATCAATTTAAAAATGTCCACAAAATATGAAATCAATGATGATTAAGCACGCATTTGGCTCATATTTATGAAAATTTGTGGAGAACACGCAAAAAAAAGAAGCGAAAAGAGCCAATTTGAAGCTAGTTAATTCAATTAAGCAACTTCTATGACCAGCCGTGAATTACTATCTTGCCTTTCTTAGTATTAACGATCCAATTTTATAATTAGACTGGTGAACTGTAGTGAACGTTTTTCTAGCCTAAATTTTGGGGCCACTTTTGGTGCACTCTTAGGGTTTTTTGATAACATATGATTTGGGATTCAAATACTAAAATGTAAACACAGTTGATACATTTTAAACTTATCAAATGAACCGAAAAAACCTATTTGCTTCACACAACACAACAAAAACAAAAACTCGATTTCAGTAAGTTTTTAACTCAATACATTTCGCAATTTTTTGAAATGCATGATTTATACATAATCTTGCTTTATGTTTTAAAGTTTGTCACATGCAAAAATAATGTGGATGCGATGCTTCAGCTTGTTTTATTCCAAATTTTTAGTTGCTAAATTGAGTCTATTTGTATTCGGTGACACTTTTTAGCATATGTAGCTGCCTTATTCGTGACTAGTGTTTGTCGGTGGCTATGCATGCTTGGCTGAGTCGATAGTGCGTGAGACGCCCTATTGTAAGAAAAACTATAAAGATAGAACAGGCTCTTTTCCACTCAAACCCCCCACACGCGACATTTGAGTTTCAGTTTTGAAAACTAATATTACCTTATCATAATGTAATGAAATTTTGCATGCTGAACAAACTAACTATTATGAACACATTTATTCTTGATATATTACTTCGTAACATCACGCGTTCAGCTATAAAAGTGAAAAAGAGACGCGTAAACATTCATAACTTTTTTCTCCAAAGGCCAAAACAAAAAATCCAGTGGTCCAAAAACAAAAAATACCAATGCAATTATTATCAGGTCCTGTGGCCCAATGGATAAGGCATCTGACTACGAATCAGGGGATTGCAGGTTCGAGTCCTGCCAGGATCGGTCATCTTTTGTTGTCAAGCCAGATCAATACTCAGACCAATCAAGCACCTAAATAGTCAATTTTGCATATAGTCGTAGCTCACTCGGTTGAGTTATTGTGTATACCTTTCTATTGTGGACATTCTGGAATAACCTTTACATTTAGAAACCCAAATGGCCAGAACTTGAAGTCAAATGACCTCGAGTCAAAACGAATAATAATCAAGGACAAAAATTCACAAGAGAAGGAATTATTATCGTATCGGGCTATTTCTGAATAAACTGATAAAAAATTGCAATAACGATGCCTTAGAACGGTGTTTTTGCATTGGATTTATAGTTTTATCTCATTAAAGCTTTCGGTTTTTTCCTTTTTTTCCCACCTCACATTCGCTTGAACTTTTTAGTGTAACGAGTGGTTTTACAAGGTTAATTATGAAGTCCCACATGATTTTTGCTCCTTGGGTGGTCTATAGTTTCTTGGCTGCTGCTAAATAGGAGATATAGCCGGACTTTCGACCACTGCCGCTGTCTTTTCGAGTGTTTCAGAGTTTTTACTAACGATTTTTTTCGTAAATTCAGGAGTGACAGGACACAGTTCATCTAGCGATGATGAAGAAGAGACTTCGGGAGTGTACAGTGACCAGCCGCCCTCGTTCATGAAGGAGAAACAGAGGCAGGGCGAGAGGGAAAGGTCACGAGAGGTCAGCCGAGAGCGGGCTCCTGTCGAAAGAGCATCCTCGGTGAAGAGTGAGAGGAGCAACCGAGGTGGGGACCGGGAGAGGGCGCCGTCTCAGAGGAGCAAGGTGCCAAGTGACAAATCGGGCAGCCACACCAGCAGTCGCCACTGGAGGTAGGTCACGTGACATAAATAACTGTGACTGGCTTATGACTGGGCATGACATATTCTATGCTTATACTATCACATGCTTATGACTGGACATTTCAATTAGCGATAATCAATTAGCGAATTAACATCAATTTTTCGACATTTGTGGTGGAAATTGGAAGATTTGTTGTAAAAAATCAGTCTTGATTGTTTGAGGAAAACTATCTCTTACTTCATAATTGCTTTGCCGCTTTCATTTATAGCTACTCTAGAATTATCTGGAACCCATAAGTTGATGCCTGTACGGAAAATCAAGAGCAATCGACAACTGAAAACTTTAATTTTTCCCAGTTATCGCTTTCCCGGTGGTTTTCCGGACTGACTCGCTTGTCGCGGCGCTCACTTGTAGTACATACGCTCGCCCTTTGAGAACTTAGAGGGAGTAGCGGGAGGGATTGTTGTTCCGAGGGACGGGAGGGTGGGGGGGGGGGGAGGTGATGTGGCGTTAAGTGAGTTGCGCTTTCGCTAACAGTTCTTAACAGTCGACAATTCGTAACAAACCAGATGAGCAACTTTTTTTTGTTTACTCAGCGACAATTCGATATGACACAATTCTACCCGTGTTTCATTTAAAAAACAAATCTTAACAACGATTTTACAAAATTTAGAAATTTAAAAACGAAATAAACAAACTTACAACTTGACACAAAATTGTATAGATGACTTGGGTGTGTTACGAATTGTCGCTTGTTGGAAAACTTCATAAAGCTAAAGCACTTCCTCTAGTAAAAGTTTGTTCCGAGTAGTCGGCTGTTTCGGATTGTTGCGTTGGTGCCGTAGGTATAAATCCACTGGAGACGAGCAGATGGAATCCCTCATTTGATACGTATTCGTAACCAAACTGTGACAAAAGAAGAATATTCTGGAACAATCGAAGGAAAGGAAGCATCTAAACCCCAACTCATCACTGATTGTTCTCTCGACAGTGGACTCAAATTTGCTGAACCACTGTCGCTGAAATGGCTCAAAACTAATTGAAAAATTGTTTTAACTTTTACCGCTTTAATAAGAAATAAAAACTTGACCTCCTGGGTACAATTAACATCTAAGCTTGAACAAAGCGAGAAGCTCAGATTTATTACTAACTTTAGGCTGCATTAATAACCATGAATAATTGCCAATTCACTCTTGTACCACTTCCAAAATTTTTATATCTGCTGGAATAGAAACCAACCGAACTATAAGCCAACTAACGTATGAATCAGACAAAGTCAGTAATTGTAAAATATTAGATTTGTAACAGTTACCAAAATCATGCAAATTCCATTCTTCCCGGGTCGAGGTGCTCGATTTTTGTTTCGATTTTGAAAGTCGGGCAAGTGCAATTTTGCGATTGAAATTCCGCGGTCAAGAAGCAATTTTAATTTGAGCTATTTTAAGTCAAAAAATACCCGATTTTGGCCGAGAAAGTCAAAACATAAGTCGAAAAAGTCGAAACATATCGAATTTTAGTCGAGAAAGTCAAAACATATCTGAACTGGATCAATCAAAGTCGAACACTTTTTTGTTGTCGAAAAACTCGAAACATACCAAATTTGGATTTTGGTCGAGAAAGTCAAAACATACTAAAATTTGGTCAACAAGGTCGGGGCATACCTATTTTTGGTCGAGAAAGTCGAGACATAAATTGAGCACCTCGACCCGATTTATGAGCACCTCGACTGGTAACTTTTCGGTCGTTTTGCATAAGGCGCTTTTTTGGTTGAGTTTTAGCTCCACTGGTTTATTTGCACTCTTATGTCTATTCTTATGCATCAATTCTGTTCATGAACAGTTTGGGCTCGACTAATTAGGCCGTTTCTTCTTGACTATCTAAAATCAAAGCGTTTGGTCTCTTCTACAGTTCCTTTCCAAAAAACACCGGAAAAAAAATTTGCATCAACAGTTGCTTTTACGCTGCTTGCATTTCAGCAGCATTCAATTTAAGACCGTACGCTTTTTTATTGTTCCGACTTTCGTAACTAAAGTAACGGAATATGTGTGCTCGGGATGTTTTTTTTCTTCAGACAAATTTCGACTTTTTAACTAGCCATTTTTGAAGGGTTTCTTAAATATCATTCAAAAAGTATTGTTGTCCTGAGCTTGAATTTGAAAAAATATTTCACCTGTGACTATTTTTCGTAAAGTTATGGGGTGTAAAGTTTACCATTTTGGCTAACTTGGGACAATTAACGAGCGATATATTTTGCGCTATTAACGTGTAAGCGTAGATTTAATCCGTCTTAGAAATTGTTCCAAATTGAATGAAAGAAGCTCATTTGCCATGATTGATATGTTACTAGTAGCAAAATTTGTCCCTTTGTACTTTATATGGCGTGTGGGGTGATGGTTTTCACAAAAAAAAAATTCAAATTAAAAAAATTAGTTTTATGTTTTTTACATTTAAGTTTTTAAGGCTATTACTGCCACATAGATATTAAGGGGCAGTCGGAACATATAGGGCTTTGCCTTGATACGAGCAGTTATGTCTAGTCCTGATATTCGCCTTTACCGCAAAAAACACTATAAAATAGATTAGTTCTTTTTTTATAGCTTGAATAACTTATTAGTGACAGCTACATTCACACCAAAGTTTTTCGAGTTTGCCAACTTTATGATTTTCCTGTCAATTCTCTATGTTTTTGGTCATTGAAGATGTTAGTTTTTTGCGAGAGGCAGCAAACGTTTGTCAAAATTTTATGATATATTTCAGTAAGTTGGATTGGTTTTGTTCGCGGAAAAGTTCCGATTTTATCGAAATTTCACTAAAATTGCGTTCAATAATCTTGTATAATACTAACTTAAAACAAACTTCCAAGCTCCTTTTTCTCAAATTCGGTTACTTTTTGACACAAAAAACCGGAAAAAATTGTGTTTGAAATTTGTGATTCAAAAGTCTCAGTACAGTGAAGCAAAATAAGATGTTGATATCAAGGGCGGTGGCGGTGTAGGATTTTCAAATGTGCGGGTCTAAAATTTCCTTGATAAAAAAGGACATTTATAAAATTTTTGAAAGCTTCAACGTTTTTTGAACTGCTCGCTGCTTCAAATTACGTAAAAAAATTTTCAAAGCGCGGTCTTAGCTGAAAAAATTATTTTGTCAGATCAATCCCCATTAGCCCAACCACGTGGTTATAAGAGTTTAATAAACTTTAAGGCTGCTTTGTCTTTTTGTCTGAATGAACACTCAGTTAAAGCTTTTATAGTATGCTAATAAGCAGACATGCGTATTGCTTCGACCCCACTTCTTTCAACTGTTGCAACAAGAAACTGCAAAAAAATACTTTCTTAGAATTTACTCCTAAATTACACAATACGGTGCCGATTTAAATTAACAAAACTGATAACAAATTATCAAATTTTATTTTTCTCAAATTGGGTTGAGATTAGACAAAAAGAAGAGTACAAAAGTTGCTTAGAGTTTGACCAAAATCAGTTTGGTGCAAATTGTTTGGCAAGTTTTGGGTTTTATGATTAAAACCAAAAATGGATCAGTTTGACTTCTTTTAGTCAATCAAAATTGACGGTAAATCTAATGACTCACTTTATGAGCAATTTTTTTTTCAAAGTTAGCTTCTTATACAGCCAAAAAACGTTTTAGAGGGTATAGTTTTCAAAATTTGTTCAAAACGTTTAAATTTGGTTTTCGAGCAAAGAGTTGGAGTTTTACAAAGTAAAAAAGACATTTTTTGGCTATCAGACAAAAATTTATTCCTTTATAAAAAAATTTTGGAGGTTATAATTTTCTAAAACTTTGTTGGGCTGTATATGAGGTTAGTTTTGATATAACTTGTTCGATTAAGTTCAACTTTTGATTGATTAAAGAGCAAAAAAAGACCCATTTTCTTTTGAGTAAAGTTTTGGCCCCCAAAATTCGCAAAGCAAAATTCACCAAAAAATTCTAAGCAACTTTTTTTCTTCGTTTTTTTTTCTAGTCTCAATCCAAAAAAAATTTCAAGTTTTGTTCAATTAGCCCGGATAATGTAAATCAGCACGGTATACGAATTACAATGTTAAATTAACTTTCTTCGCTTTGCTTGCCACTAATTAGCTCCAACTACAGATTTTTTTCTTCTGAGAACTGTTTATTTAGAATTATCAAAAAACTCTCTGAAAACTCGATATCAAAACTTACGAAATAGTATCGGGAATTCTATAATACAAAAAATTTTAGTCACAGAGCACCCTAATTTCGACAGTTTATTAATAGCAAAGTTTTGCAAAAAAAAAGTATCTGTTTGCATTTTGAGACTCATTTTCGTTCGGGCCGACCTATTAGCATCAGCTTGATTTGCATGCCCATATAGAAGAATATAGCTCAAAAAATCACTATTTTACGTTGTGTTAGCATAAAAAAGCCAAACTTGTAAACATAGGAAAGTGAAATTTTATTTCACCTAACAAAACAAGTGATTTTCACAATTGTTTGCAATTTCAGGCTAATTAGTTTTTTATCTGAAAGCATACTCAGCTAAAGCAATTAACGCATGCTAATAGGCACACATGCTAATCGCTACGCCCTTTTTATTCAATTCTTCAATGGTGTTTGAGAGGGCAATTTTATGAAAACAACAAGACCCTCCTCTCAAAAATATCCTATGAATGAGAGAATATTATAAAACACGAGTTGATTTTCAAGTAGAAGTTTTCTCGATTAAGGTTAAAATATTATTTCAAATTGTTTTCAAACATGTTTTCAAATTAATTTGGGTTCTTTTTTTGGCAACGCTTTTTTCTCAAAAGTGCTTATCATGCAGTTCATTACATGGAATTGGTACTACCTCATTTTTTATCGTGAAAATGTTAAAAAAAACAGCGGTTTTTTAGATCTCCACCACAAATGATTGTGACTCACTTTTCAATTAGGTCCATTGGCGTCGGCAGGACTCCCAACAACCTGAACACAGAGGAGTCCCAACTGAGCTCCTCGACTACAGACCAGGAGGATTCTGTCTGGGAGCGAGGACCCAGATCAGATAGGATGAGGAGCAACAGGTACTCTTGTTTCATGTCAAAAAACGCCTTAATATTCAGAAGCGTAGCTATCTGAAAAAAGTAGTCGGCAGAAAAGTTTTCGAATCATGCAGATATCGGTGAACTTACTTATCAAAAACATGCGAGACGAAAATAAAAAATCTAATGCATTCATATTGGAAATCAATTTTCTTTTCGTTCTAACAACCTGCACGAGCGACGTTAATTAAAACTAAATTTTTTTGCAAATAAAAAACTAACCTCAAAGTCTCGGATATTAACAAATTTGGGCTCAACTATAAAATTAAACTTCTCGGTGAAAAAGTGAAAAACTAATCAGAACACAATTCAAAAGATGGAAACAGTTTATTAACAAGTTAAGCTCTAATAAATGAAGCTCTAATTACAATTCACATCTAGTTAGCAATTGCCCCTCTGGTATAAAAACTATTCTAAAGAATTGCAGAAGTGCCCCCTCTAGATAAAAACTATTTATTAGCAAACTGAATTATCAAGCGGGTAATAATGGTTGATAATATCGCAGATACGATTAAAACAGCTGTTGTTTTTTAGCATAACGGTCCCATCACCCTCGCTTTTTTATTTGCGTTTTTTTCCAGTAAGATTCCACATTTTGGTGTGTGGACACCAGACGTCGGCTAAACGAAATGAAGAGAATGGTTCACCGTTTTGTGATGAAAATCACGGTTTTTGACAGACTTTAAGCCTTCCATGTGTCAGAGTGTATGACGACAGACCCTTTTTCTACGACTACTTCGATGATGCCTCAGATCAGGGGCGGATCTAGGATTTTCTCGTGGGGGGCGGATTTTCAAAAGATTTTCGTCGATTTTTTATAGGTCGAGCAAAGTGAATTTCCGAGCCCTCCCAAAGCACTAAAAAGACCCTGTTTTGGTAAAATTTTCTGCGCCGCAGGCCAAAATTTAAAAAACAGGCAAAAAAAGGCGTTTTTAGGCACTTTTTGGAAAACTTTGACCAAAAAATAGCGAGTTTTTTGGGCGCGCGTTCCCTCAGATAATCCAGTTTGGAGTTTCAGCTGCTTATTTGGTTATTTATTTGCTAACTCCATAAGTAGATAAGGTGAAACCAAGTTGATAAAGGAATAATGGTATGTTGAAAAAATTATCTTTTTCAAATTGAGGTTGTCAATTTATGTTGAGATCATTTCTATCTTTTCTAAGGTACACGGTTAACAGGGTTAGCCTAATTGTTGTGATAAACTTATCAAATAGTTTCAGAGACACAGAATGGATAATTCCCAAATCAACACAGCAGGGAACACTGAGGAACCAGAGACTTTTAGTATTCAAGAAGAAAACAACGCAATCCCTCAGCTCAGATATCAAGACTAAACACCTATTGCGAAATCAACTTCAAAAAGAAGCTGTGCCGTACTAAGTCCTCCTGACTTGGCATCCATATCCGAATCAAATGCCAACATCAATGAAATCATAGAGTCGAGTATCGAAAAAGTCTTTTAGAAGCAAATCCCTCGAATCATTGAGAAACTGGAAACTACGTTAAGCGCAATTTTCAAGTCTTTAATAGGCCAGGGTCTGCAAGATGTCAAAGAAACGGTTCTAAAGGAGGCAAAACAAACAATAGAGCAAGAGGTCAGAAAGTGCAGACTAAAAGCCGCTTCAGAAGACGAGCTTCTTGAGGGATACAACAGAAGAGATAATGTGAGGATCATTGGAATTCAGGAAGAACGAGGTACAAATGAAGACGGGAGGAGAATATTCGAGAACTATTTCCAAAGTATTGACAAAGTATTGAACGTCGCCAAAGAGGCTAGCGCTGAGATTGAGAAGAGCGATATTTCTATTGCTCACAGATTACCTGGAAGAAATGCAAACTCCCGGCCAATGATAGTGCGCTTCTCCAGACGGATTGCCAAGGTGGAACTGCTGCGCAAGAAGAAAAACCTGAACCAGTCGCAGACTATGCACTCCGTGAAAGTATTCGAAGATCTAACGGCACCGCGATTGAAGTTTTTCAATTTAATGAAACAAGACTCAAGGATTGAATCAGCCTGGACGCGAGAGGGGAACATCTACTACAAGTTTAAAGAAAACCAAAACATTCAGTGTATCCGAGGACTTTTTGAAGGAACGCAACAGCTTCAATACAATATAGAAAAGCTTGAGAGTTGTTTTGTAAAACAATAGCAACCAGAATCAAAACCAGTAATATTTACTTCATTCTCTAAAGTTGCTAAAATTTTTCATATGAATGTGAGATCCCTTAATAAACATCACGATGAGTTCGAAGCACTAATAAATAGCCTTGAGTCACCACCGGACGTAGTATGCATTAGTGAAACTTGGTTACAGGAAGATAATAGTGTCAACTGCTTCAAAGTTAGTGGTTATAAAACTATAATTAATAAATCGAGGAAAGGTATAGGAGGCGGGGTAATGATGCAATTGAAAGATAATGTAACTATTATAGAAGAATTTAACTCAGAATTGGCTGAAAGTATTTCAGTTTTAGTTAAATTAAACAATGAAAATTTCCAAATAATGCTTGTCGACAATCCCCCCAATGATAATAAGTTTACTTTTGTAGACGAATTCGATAAGCACCTAGAAGCTATAAGCAACAAAAATTATCGCGCGGTAATATGTGGTGATTTTAATATAAACATCCTTAAGTCGAACAATCTATCTTCTAAATACATTGATGCTGTCGAAAATAATGGTTTCAATCAACTGATAAAGCAACCAACCAGAGTTGGATACAATAGTGAAACTCTTCTAGATCACATGATAGTTAAAGATGTTAATGTAAAAGCAGCCTATGCTCTTGAAAATCAATCATTTTCTGACCACTTTCCGATTATTTTAGAATTAAACACCCAAACATCAAAGAAAATTTGTCCAAAAATTTATCGTGATACAACTTTCTTAAAATCTAAAATACAGATAGAAAAGCTTAATCAAACACTTATGAACAAATTACACTATAATGAAGCTTTAGACCCATCAAAAGGCATTGATGATTTATTTGCGGAATTTCAGTCAACGTTTAGCAGTGTATTAGACAAATACGCACCACTGAAAACCACAAAGACACAAGAGCGGAAATCTAGATCTTTTTCGCTGTCGAATCGTATTAAAAACCTAATCGCAAAACGAAACAGGCTTCATAGAACATGGTGTAACAATAAATCTGAAGTTGGTGCCAGGTTGCGTTTTGAAATTGTCCGGAAGAAATGTGAAATTGAGATTAAGAAATATAAAAAGCATTATTACTATGATAAGTTTAGTAAGTGTATTGGTGACTCAAGGCAGATATATAAAATTTTAAATAATTTAAGGGGAATTACAAATACATCAAAAAAAATTGTTTCGATCAATTCCATTAGCGGAAATTGTATCACCGATGAATCGGCAATTGCAAATGAATTTAAGGCTCATTTCTCTTCGATTGGCATAAATCTGGCGAAAAACATACCAAACCAGGGAATCACACAATCGTTTGATACACCTATTTTTTGCATGTTCAATTTCCTGTTACGGAAAGTGAAGTTCACATTATCGTTTCTAACCTACAAAATAAAGCTTCACCTGGCGTGGATGGAATCAGTAATCTTGTTTTGAAAGCAAGCTCATTTGCGATTGTACCCATTTTAAGGCAACTCATTGAAGTTTCTTTTAAATCTGGCCATTTTCCTATCTGTCTAGCTAGGGCTGTTGTCTATCCATTATATAAGGAAGGTTCTAAACTTGATGTTACAAATTACAGACCAATATCCCTTCTTGTCACCTGGAGCAAGATTTTTGAGCGAGTAATGTACAACAGAGTATACAATTACTTGGAAACGAATTCGTTAATATACATTAAACAATTTGGTTTTCGCAAAAATCACAGCACAGTCGATGCAATTGCGGAAGTAACAGAAAAACTTCGTTTAGATATGAGCAGTTCGCAAAAATATACTGCTTTTCTTGATTTAAAAAAAGCTTTTGATACACTGGATCATCAGATACTATTTCAAAAGTTGCAAATGTATGGGATAGATGGAAAAGATTTAAGTTGGTTCATAAGCTATCTGAAACATCGAAAACAAGTAGTAGAAATAGGTACAACAAAGTCAACGTGGATGGACTTAAAGTGAGGCGTCCCTCAAGGGTCAATACTAGGACCACTTTTGTTTCTGATATATATTAATGACCTTCCCCAAGTCTGCCAATATAGTGAAGTTTTCCTGTTTGCCGATGATACTAACATAACTGCTTTAAATTGCTCTGTTGAAAATTTCAACAAAACCTTAGAAGCTGTAGGCAAGTGGTTAATATTAAATAAATTATCCCTGAATATAGATAAAACTGTTCAAGTCTACGTCTCTTCAAATAGTGCTTCCAATCAAAACATTTATATAAATAAATTACCTTTAAAAAATGCTTCATCTTGCAAAAACCTTGGAATTTTTTTGGATGCTAAATTATCTTTCAATACTCATATTGATTTAGTTCGAACTAAGCTTAGAAAACAATGTGGAATTATTTCAAAAACGCGTCATTATGTGCCCAGAGGTACCATACTAAAATACTATGCCTCTAAAATTAAACCAATTTTACAATACGGCATTTTAGTGTACGGTTGTACCAGCTATACAAATCTTTTGCCCCTTTTGATGATACAAAAAAAAATTATTCGCCTAATTTACATCAAAAGAAATTTTGCAACAATACGGGATGTATTTTTTGACCAAGGAATCTTAACAATCCCCGAATTACATGTGTATGAGCTTCTAAAATTTGTTTTGAGATCTGTCTCCGGACTTCATTCTGAAGAATTTCTAAATGAACTTTTTAAATTTGAAATACCAACGTATAGGACTAGGAGGGCTAATTCAGAGTTGATGAAAATTCCTAATTTAAAAACCAAAATGCAGAGAATGTCGATAAGTTACAGGGGAACGAAACTTTACAATTTACTTACACAGAACTTTTTAATGCCCAATGAATTCACTAATTTTTCACAGGCAAATGTTCAAAGCGTGGCTCACCGAATTAGAGATCTGTTCATTCTAAGCAATGAAGAACTCATCAAATTTATCTTTTGCCAGAATTAAATTGAATTATTCCTAAAAGAAATATTTTTTTTTGCATATGATGGATAGATGGAAAATAGATTTAATAATAGGAATTATTAAAATACCATGGCTGCTCCACGGACCCGATATTTTTTTTGACGTAATCCCCGGAAAACCTAGTACGACGGACTCTTTGTGAGTTTAGATTACTGAATAAAAGTCTCGGAAAAGTGGCGCATCCATTAAGAATTAAAAAAAAAAAAAACATAAATTTTTTTCCAAAATGGGCCGAAATGGCCCGCTTGAGGGGGAACCTATGCCCAATTTTTTCGTTTTTCCTAAAAATCACCTAGAAATTTCATATTCATGCCCAAGGCTTAAAATGAAAGGAAAAAACTTGTATTTTTTTTAGGTAAATATTATAATCAGCTCATTAACATTTGCAATTGTTTTAAATAAGCTAAGTTATGTTGTGTGTTACTTAAAACTGAGATAAATCATGCCATTTCTGAGTAGGCTTTTAGACCCTCTAATGTATGATTTTATATTTCACCTTTTTTTGTTCGTTCTATTTTTGCAAATATGTAGAATTTATGTACTAGAATTCATAATAATTTGAAACCCAACTAACTACATCATTCATGTTTCTAATATTTTTTGGGACAGCATTTAGTATCCCTTATGGGATCGTTAGCTGTCCGCTCTTTGATACTGATGTATTTATGCGCAATATGATATGAATTTTCTAGTAACATTGAGAAATTAATTCTTTCTTTCTTTCTTTCTTTCTAACTTAACCATTAAGTTACACTTTGTATGGTTACACTTTTTTTGTGAGTATGGTCGGAACATTTTGTGCTACTTGCGCATTAACCGACTATCCTTATTTTACTTACCAATATGTGGTTAACAGATACCTTCTTGACCAGCAAGTGCCTCGGCAACCCGCACGTTACATTACCGAACCGGGACCCGCTCCAGTTCCGACCCCTACTCCGGCACCAGAACCAGCGGGCAGGGGAGGCTACCAGAATCTAGATCAACAACCGCCAAACAACAGTTAGTGATGAGGACCACGCCGACCGATTGATTTAACTCCTCAACTGTTTAACTTATTTCAACTCTTTAATTTATTTTAACTGCAAAATCCTCAAAAGCTTTCTGCGCTTACCAGAAAAAGTTGGAAAAATAGACCCTGAAAACACCAAATAACTGGTCAGATGCCCGAAAAAGGCTTGCGGTAAAAGTTTACAAAAGAGAAGTTCCAAGCTGATTGGTTCAAAGTGAACATGTCGCTGAAAAATGGATTTAAAACGCCCTCAATTTAGCAATAATGTTTTAAATCAAATGAGCAAAATAGTTGAAAAAAAAAGAACCTCGTATTTTAGACGCGGTGACAACTTTGTACGATGAGAACCGACAGCCGATCATTTTGGCGATGAAAGTTGAAGATTCGGGCAAAGTACACAGGGGAGGTCGAGACCGGGTGGATAGCAGCGAAGAGGAACGAAAGCGAGGGCTTCAAAGAGAGGTTAATATAAAACACTTTTTTGTTCTCACGTTATCACGGCTGCTTTTTGGTTTTTGGCAATCTCTTTACTTTCGGATAAAATTTGACTCATCTTCGGCCATTATGTTTTTGGAAATTCACAACAAAATTCTTAAGATTCTTACCAAATGCTGTTGGTATTGTTTTAGATTGATCTTGAACTGGAGCGAGAGAAAGAGAGGATTCGGGAGCGTGAACGGGAGCGTGAACAAGAGATAGAGCGTGAACGAGAAGAAGCAAGACAGCGTGAAAAAGAGAGGGAACTGCAGTTTGAACGGGAGAGGGAGGAGGCTAGAGAGAGGACGAGGGAGAGAGAGCTGGAATTGCAGAAGAAGCAAATCCAGTACTGTGAGGTGTAAGTATACTCCTGATTGTCAAATATCTGGATCTCCATCCGTTTTAGACTTCTTTTCAGGCCTTCAAAAAATCTTTTAACAAAACTTAAATGAACTTTAAGTAAAATTCAGCGTTGAAAATTAAAATCAATATTTCAAATTAGACTGGTACTTTTTTGGGATTCAGTAGATCTTGATAAAAATAGAGAACAAAATTAGTAAACTCGCAGCTGAAATAAGATGAAAATTGCTTTTTAAGTAATATTTTTACAGAGAGATTCAAACTGACGATGAGTTTATGAGTGGCAACGAGTCAGGCACTACTGCTGGTTCCAGCCGAGACAAGGAGGAGGATAGAGAACGAGGAGAAGGGAGAGGCAAAGAGAAAAAGGAAAAGGACCGGAAAGAAAGGGAGAAGGACCGAGTGAAAGGGGATGAGGATAAAATCCGCGACAAGGATGCTGATCGGAATCGAGACCGAGTCCGCGATAGAAGAAGGAGGTCAAGCCGGGACCGCGATAGTGAGGTGGGAACCCGTCGTCAGAGCAGCCGACAAAATAGCGCTTCCAGCACCGGGAGGTCTTCGAGATCTTCGGTCACTTCGGATCGAGACGGGGAGGGAGGTTACTCGTCAACAACATCGGCAACTTCAGCAACCTCGAAAGAGACGGAGACGGCTCTGGCGAGGCAAGAAGCCCTGCTGGAGAAGTTGCTGCAGAGTCAAGACCAGACCAATGAGAGCATGAAAGAAAGGTATGATCAAATTATCAAAGGTTGAAACTTAAGAAAATCATCACCAGTTGGTAAAAGAGAGAGAACTCAAAAACGAGTTGTTCAACTGTTCTTTGAAGAACACCTGTTGTGCCCCTGGTGAAGATTTGCATGTATTTTGGTGGTTATTTGACTTTGCTTTTTAAAGTTTCCTCTTCTGTAAAGATCGCAGACGGACGCTGGTAGTCTCAAACTTCCAAACTGCGGCCTGATTTTCTGTTTCTCGCCTAACTCTCAAAAGATCAAAGAATAAAATTAAGTTTTAATCTGTAATCAGCTGAGCTGATCGTAAGTCGGTCTTTTTCTGTCGTCTGATAAATGCTGTTAATGTTTTGAATGGTGTTAGGATGGGTGAGGCGCAGGAGAATCTGGGAAAACTGATGAATCAGCTGAATGCCTCTTCCAAGAACAAACAGGAGCTGGACTCCCGACTAAAACGACTAGACAACAGGGTATGTAATATTTGAGGCTTCTGACATTCGCAGGGGATCTATGAAAGGCTATCCAAGCTGTCTAAGAATAGTTAGTTTCTATTATCTCCCCACATTCCAGACCGAATTAATTTGTTGAGCGAAGCTCAATGTGATTTCTGTACCTATTAACGAATCTCCCCCTCTTAAAAAAAGGGGAGAAAAAGTCATGGAGATCCGCATTTCCCGTAAAAGACTAAGAAAACAATTTTGCAGGGCAAATTTTAATTTTTTTTTTGCTTTTGCAGGGTTTCTTACGCATAACCACTTGTATCGAGTTTTTGAAATCAATTCTAGTTGAAAGTACATTTTCGATTTAAGTTTTTTTGGTCAGTTTTGAGCTTTCTCTCAAATATGCTTCGAAAAAATTGCTTCTTTTTTAAATAATAAGTTTCGACTTCAAGTTTCATCTTACCATCTCTTTAATTGTTGTTTTTTTTCCAGCTGGAGACGGCTCTCGGTGCATTGGAGACTTACACAGTGGACGAAAGCAATCGAGACAGGTGAAAAAACAAAACAAGATATTGTAGGATTAGGCGATGAAATGCCTTGAAGCGGATATTAAATCGATAAGGATGATTTGAAACAAATGCATGAAAAAACACCATTGAAACTAGCTTAAATTATTATCTCCAGTTGCTCTTCCCCGAGTCATGTAGAAGAATACCCTTTCAGAAAATTATCTTTTCCTTGTCTGCACACTGTTACATTATTTTTATTGGTAAGCGGTGCAAAATTGTGAAATAAATTGTTTGTTTTAGAGTGAGAGGAGGAACTGCAAATAGCTACGAGGTAAACCTGCGATTTATTTGTATCGAAAAATCGAGACAGAGAGGAAGTTTACACCAGCTAAGAGTATTTCAACAGTCGAGTTTCATTGCTTATCAATTGCATGTTTCAACATTGCAATCATTTATTGCAAAGTTGTAGTAATTGCGACTAAACTGGAAAGATGAAAAAGCTCGAAATCTATAAAAATTTGGTAAAGAAGACCGCAAATTATAAACAAAGTCGACGACTTTGTCTGCAAGAGATTGTCAGAAACGTTATTTAATTCTAAATGGAATTTCAAAAAGAGCATATTAAGTAGGAAAAGTTTTGTCTTTAACTTTCGACCAATTAAGACCAACAAATTTTGTTTTTAAAAACCAACCAAACTGCTCGTATCAGGGCGAAGCCCTGAACGTTCCGACTGCCTTTTAAGGTCTATTGAGCAGTAATAACATGAAAAATTTAAAGGTAGAAAAAAAACAATTTTTAAGCCGGATTAAATAGCTGCTTAAAACTTATGGCACGGACAAGACTGCTCGTATATCAGGGCAAAGCCTTGAATGTTCCGATTGTCCCTTAGTTCATATCGATTAGTTTTTGGGAAAAATATTAAAAACCTATATATTTTGGACAATATCAAAGTTTGAAATTGTGAATCGTACGAAATCAAGACAAATGATTAGCTAACCTCAATTCAATTTGGAAAGATATTGTTGTGCGGAATAATTCCTCACTCATAAAAAACTCGCGCTACGCCCTCAGCATTATGAATTAACACTTCAGAGGGCTTATAATTTAGTCCAAAACATATCCAATTTGGCAATTTTCAAGCCACCAGAGTTTTACAAAAATTAGTCGAATCGAAACATCTTTTTCAGTTTGAATTCAGGAACGCAATGTCTTCCACTGGGTATAAAAATTTTTTGTTGAAAACTATTATTATTTCGATCGGCGAAAATTGACTGAATATAAAAATTACAACGTGCATAAAAATCTTTTTTCTTCGAAAGTCGGAACAAATATATCGCACAGTAGCTATTCAAAATTGGAGATTGGCATTTTTCAAACGCTCTTATCTTTACAAAAATCAATCAACATTCAAATATCTTTCTAAATTTGAGTCAGGAGGTTATAATTTATCAGATGCTGCTGCATAGACATTCGTGTCGAGACATAAATATTTGGGACACAAATGTCCAGACACGCAATGTTAAAAGAAACTCTCTTGAAAAATGGACAACAACAAATCGAACTTGTGTCTAAAAAATGCCACTGGCCACAAATATTCCATCTTTAATTCGAATGTGTGAACAAATTCTGCTATAGTTCATTGTGTTTTTCGGCAAAAACTGCAATTTTTTTCCAATTTGTTTACAAAGGGTTGAATGTTTTTTTTCTGCAGTTATTTTTGATACCATGCACACCAGACCGCATAATGACTTTAAGATTGGCACACCTACTGCTCATAAATTTTTCAATAAATTTACTTCATTCATTTGATGGAAGCAAAGTTAAAATTTTTGGGATTGTTGTTAAGCAAGAGAAATTTAATTGAATAAAAACTGGAGATTGAAAAAAAAACGAATTAGGTTTTCATTAGCAATGTGACGTACAGCTGAAATATTTTCGACTCGAAGAATTTGATTCCCGGAAATCAAAAATTTTGAAAGTAAAAATCACTTGCGATCAAAACGGCCACAGAGTGTTTGCGTTTGAATATTGCTTTTTTGGATTAAGAACTGTTGTTATCGCAACATACTTAGTCCAAACATGTCATTTTTAGACGCGAAAAAGTTTTATTGTAGTTGTAACTTTTTGTGGCAAAAATATTTGAATTTGTCTTAAAAAAACACAATTTTTTTCCTTTTGTGAAAGTACTTGATACTGACAAGTTCCATTTCTTGACCGTTAGATAATCAAAATTGATTCAGACGAATGAAGCAGCAACTCTTTGTTTTTTGATTTACGGTCGTTATGCGAGCGGTCTTCCCGGATTGATCTTGCAGAGAAAATCAATTCTGTTGTAGTACTGTTACAGTTAAAAAAAACAGTGTTGTTACAGTACTGCGCCAGCCTCAATTTATCTCTGATCAGAGATAAATCAGCGATAAAAAACAGTACTGTTACAGAGATAAATCAGCACCTTAACAGCACTGAAAATTGCAAAAATAGCACTAAAAAAGCAAAAGTAGTTCTGAAAAATCACAAAAAAGCGCTAAAAAATCAAAGGCAGCATTGAAAGAATGAAATAAAAATATTTGCTGTTTTTTCCACAAAAAAGACCCTTCACAGGCAAATTTAGTTGCTCAAGCCTTCTAATTATTAATTCATTTCTCTTTTACTTCCCAGAGAAACTGCGTTTTCAGGCGGTATCCAGCTGATTTTAGCTGTGGGATGATTCAAAAATTTAAGAAAAAGATTGCCGTTTTTTTAAACAAACATTTTCCTTTCCAGGTAAACTTAATTGCTGCAGCCTTCTGCTTGTCAAGGCTAAGTCATTTGTAATTCATTTCGCAGAAAAAACTGCGTTTTTAGGCGGTTTTTAGCTGATTCTGTCTGTGGGGGGGGGGGGGGGGGTGAATAAGGGCCTCTTTCATTTTTTTCTCAATTGTAAGGACACGTAACAAATCTTCGAAATAAATTCGAAAATTTGAAGAAAAAAAAACATACAATACTGTTCCAGTACAAAAACAAGTGATATAAAAACAACGGCGCTGTAACAGTACTGTTCTAGTACTGCAACAGTACTGTTTTTTTTGTTTCACTGGGTTTTTCCTGCAACAGTACTGAAAAAAATATATTACTAGATTTACTCTGAAACAGAACTGATTATTACTTTATTACTGGCAGACCAATCCGGGTTGTTTAGCGGAATCTTCCGCATAACCAACCTGGACGCAATGTGCTGCTGTATGTAATCAGTATTTTTAATTAATTTCTGCAAGTTTAAGGTGAATGAAGTTGTAGAAAATTGCTTCTGGTGATCCAAGTGTTCTAGCTAATTAGTGTTCTAAATTAAGAAAAACTAGATTAGATTATGAAAAACTATATCATAAAAACTATATCAATAAAAACTATATCAATATTGTTTTTCAATATTGCCGATACACTTAATTTGAAACTGTAACAGTTAAACTTCCATATGCTTTATTCAAGGTTGTCAGACCGTCGTGTTCTAGCTAGTTACTGATTCTTGGCAACAAATTAGTTTCTATTTTAAACTTAAGCAAGTCATCAAGCACTTCAATTTTTAAAAATTTCTAATACAAAACATTATATCCACAATCACAGGAATACTGCTATGGAAATGAATCTTGAATTCTAAACAGTTTACAGCAAAACAAATTGGAATTAAATAGGCGCTAATTAGTCCAAACAATTCTTCTGCAGTACTTAAAAACCTGCTTTCAACAAAGAGTTTTTTGTATTCATTTTTTTTGAAAAACAAAGTTTTCTCTTTTTTTTTTCAAATAACAGCAGTTTTTATGTGCTGTTTATTATGAGATACGAATCAAACGCTTAGAAAGTTTGTGAATTAGGCACAGTTTTAGGCACTGCAACAGTTGTCTTCGAAAAACGCATTACAAACAAAAATAACAGAGTAATTAATACAAAACTTGACAAAAACTTACAGGATTAATCAAAATTCGCTTTTAATGATTTTTTGTAGATATCAGATCTTTTGCTGAAATTAAGTCTGGAAAAACTTTCTTGGAATCCGAATCACTAGTGAAAAGGTATGTGTATAATACCAAAATATATTGTAGAATACTGAGATATTTGTAGACGGGATCCCTGTCAGGAGTGCCGAGACAGTCCTCCTCTCGAGGTTCCAACCGGATGCCAGCCCCGTCCAGACACTACGGGGGGACAGAGGGGGTGCATGACACCATCCCCGAGGAGGCCAGAAGCAGCTACTCCAGAACATCTTCCAGGGGCGGAGGGGGATACACAGCCACGTATGAGGACACTAGTCAGATGAACAGACGCCAGACAGCACAGAAGGTAGCTTTCTGTTAACACTGGATAAAAAGTAAGAGGATTGAAAAGTTAAGAAAGACAGATATTTTGGAATTTTGAAGCCAATATATACTAATTTTGAGGGGGGGGGGGGAAACAAGATTTTTTGGTCAAAATTTTCAAAAATGTGCCTAAAAACGCCTTTTTCGGCCTGTTTTTCAAAATTTTGCCTGCGGCGCAGAAAACTTGGCCAAAATTGCGTCTTTTTAGTGATTTGAGAGGGCTCAGAAAATCAATTTAGTCGACCTGAAAAAAGTCGACAAAATTTTTGAATTTTTTTTTGAAAATCCACCTCCCCCTCGAGAAAATAAGACCCTGAAGTAAATGAATTCATATCTTGAGGTGAACGGCCTTTTTCTAAAGACGTAAAACAAGCTTGAAGCGTTTCTCTTTTATTCAAAAGCTGGAATTGATTTCAAGAGAACACCTCGAACGTGCATGGGAAACAACAAATTAGCATAAACCAGGAAAAATATTTTATTATCATGAATAACGTTACATGCTTTTATGAAAAATGTAAGCAGGAGTTGATTTCAGGAGAATGTTTCGAATTTGCAAGGGGGTTCTGCGATGGGAGGAGGAGGAGAAGGCGGAGTGGGTGGGGAGGGGGTGTTCCCCAACATAGAGTACGAGAGACAGAGCATAGTGAGCCAGATCCCACTAGCCGACCAAGTGTCCATCCACAGCCACAGTCTAAACACCAGTGCACGCAGAGAGTGAGTCGATTATAATAACTAAATAAAGATATGATTAAAAAGGTTTAGTTTAAATTAAATTCATTGATTCGTTTTTTAAATGTCATCTTTAGTTTAAGTAAGGTGTCCATAGTCGAATCCCTCATACGCGAAGGACCCAATGCGCGAAATTAAAAATCAGCCAATCAGATTTCAGTTATCTAAAGTTTGGAAAGAAAATAAACATTTCCTGAATATTGATATTGGCCAAATATAAAAACGGCAGAAAGATGCAAAACTTTCAAATTGTCACTGACCGCTGCCGAATTGGAACAAATTTTATATTTCAAGATTTTCGTTATGAAAAAAGCTACAAATATTGCTTCATTTAATTCATTTTAATGGAATGGCAATTGCTTCCTTTTAAAAATTCAAAGACTTTCGGCTAATTTTGTTTTCGGTCCTTCGCCCACGAGTTTTTTTGCGCTTTCGGTCCTTCGCGCATGAGAATAGCCCCCTTGTCCATATCAAGTATTTTATGGTGTTTTTGATACTTTAATTTTTTTTCAACACTGAACTGCAAAATTTAAAGACGTGAGAGAAAAGAAAAAACAGCCCACCGTTTCATAGAAAAACCTGAAATATCAAGTCATGCATATATAAAAAAGAACATCTCCAATTAACATGATCAATGTTTTTTTTGTGTTCTAGGGCATCCCCACCTCCTGCCTCTGTTCAGGGTGGGGGAAGTAGACAGGGCAGTGGGAATGGGAGGGGCTCAGCCGCCCCATCCTCACCTCTTCCGCCCCAACAGCAGGAGGAACAGCCGAGGGTATTACAATTTTTATTCACGTTTTGATAATTAGAAGCCCTCTTAAAAAATTTCATTTTGTCGCCAAAAAACCTCTTGTTGACTATTAAACTCTCCCACGCAGCAAAAATGTTGAAAAAATCGTTTTTCTTTATAATAATTTTTTGGTAAACTCCAAAAATTGAAATGTACGAGCTTGCAAATTATTTTCAGAGACTTTTCCTGCAAAAATTGTTCATACTGAAATTTTTAAAAACTGGAAACAAGAACCACTAACTGAACTTGCCACAAGAAGGATTCTTTTTTTTTTCAAAAGTGATGAGCTTGTATTCATGAGCTGAGCTTACATTCGACTCGAGAGGAAAACTGCACATAAATTAGTGCTTGCCGCTTAAATTATTGTTATGAATTGTCGCTTGTTACGAGTTGTCGCCTGTTACGAATTGTCTGTCACCTGTTACGAATTGTCACCTGTTACAATTTGTCGCTGCACGATATGAAGAGCCTATATTTAAATATAATTAGCCTATATTCAAATATGATTAGCCTATACTCAAATATTATTAGCCTACATTCAAATATAATGAGCCTACCTTCATTCAAATATGATGAACCTATGCCTGAATCGTTCTTTTTTACTATTTCCAGGAATGGGGACAGAGTCAAGGAGACATGGTGTGAACTGAAGAGGACAGGCGTGAACAAAGGTCAATGACCTATCACACATTCCAGTTCACCAAAGAAACTTGCAAGCACGTTTGATTCTCTCAACAAGAATCTACGTTCTTCAACTAGCTGAAAACTATATACATAAAACCACAAAAAAGTCAAACTAACATTGTAAATATTTTTGAAAATTGATCATCTACATCCAAATTTGTATCATTCTAACAGAAATGTTCTTTTTCAAAACTTTTCTTTAAAAAAATGAGTATAAAAAAATTTGTAGAAAATGATCTGTTTCAACAGCGACCTTTTAGATAAATTATAATTTAAAGAGAAACAAAATTAGGTCTGCGGCAGGGGCGGATCTAAGATTTTCTCGAGGGGGGATTTTCAAATTGATTTTCAGAGTTCTTCTAAATCACTATAAAGACCCCATTTCGACCAAACTTTCCGCTCCGCATGCAAAAATTTGAAAAAACAGGCCAAAAAGCGTTTTTAGTCTATTTTTGGAAAATTTTGACCAAAAACAGATATCTCAAAATAGTACAAAGGGGGTTTCCAAGTTTTATAGATTCAAAATCTTGCGTCAAAGAATTAAATTTTTTGCCAATCAATTGCAAGGGTTTCTAAAAATAAGAACTAAAGCATATGTAGTTTTGGGTACAGTGTTTATAGTCTAGCGCAGTGTGCATTCTGTTATACCCACGGAATAGATGGGTTTCGGTAAGTTACAGTTTGAGACATAAGCTATGGTGAATAGAGTTAAGAGTTTAAGAAGAATCTGTTAGCAACTTAAATTCAATTGGTAAGTTTAGATCTGATTCGAATCTGGCCTCAAAATCATGAGAGAGACAGAGACTCATAAATAACTATTGAATATGGTGTTAGGTTAATAAGTACTTAATTAGATCAGTTATCTATATGGTTAGCTTTACATGAGTGCGTATGGTTAAGTATCATGACTATGAATCTAATCTAAGTGTAATGTTTTAGTTCTGATCAGTTCTAGTGGATATCTATTATATCCGTACTGATAACATTCCTCCTTTTTTTGTTAATGATGTTGTCATCATATATCGTCGTTCTCCTCTGGCTGTTGATTGGCTTTTGCTGGGATTTTTGTCTGGACTGTTGGTAGGTTTTCTGGCTGTTTTGTGTTGTGGTCGATTGCATCGACTTAGCCTTGCTGGTTTTAAAACGGATTTCGCGTTATTGTTTTTCACATTCCCTTTGGAATGTCATGGAATTCGATGTGGGTGAGATCGATTTCAAGATGTTCATTGTGGCGTTGAAGCTGTCGATTAGATTCTTGTCTGGCGAAGATGATGTACACGCTGGTCAGTCGATTACATATCTTGAGCTAATCGCCCTTTGTGTTGGGGAATGTGGTGACTCTGTTCGTGTGGTTGTGCTGGGGTCGTTTGTTTTGTCCACTATACATTTTACTGTCTCACCTACGGATTCGTGAAATTGTTGATTGGGAGAGTCGTTGCTTTCTGCTATTCGCACTTTTTCTGGTGTTCCCTGGGTGGTATTGATTTCGATGTATTCGATGTCTGTCGATGACTCCTGTGGGTTTGCCGGCTACTGTGGGATTTTGTCCTGTTCAGCCTGGTTTTGTACATTTTGTACTGTTACGCTGCAAACCGTGTCTTCGGTGTGGGTGGTTTCGTCAACTTGATTTATCGGGATAGCATTCTCGAACTTGTTAGCAAGTGCACTTGTTTTCATCCTTGTGCATCTTCGGGGTTGGACCTCCTGTGGTGGTGTACGTTTTCTGTCCACTCGTTTTGCTGCTAGTTTTCGTGGTGACGGTGTTTTCTATTAAAGGTCTGAGTAATCGGATGATAGCGAAATCGAAGTATCACATTCGAATTGAATGTGTGAGTTGTCTTTACGTAGCATTATCACTGGACTGCCTTATCCTTTGCGACTAGGAGATTTTGGGTTTTTTGTAACGCTTGTTTTTAGTCTGGTAGGCTGTGGTTTTCTCGTTCCAGTGTTTGTTTTTGTTTTGAATATGCGTTGTAGCCCTAACGCTTTCCGATTTAGCGACTGGCGTATAACTTCTTCAATGTTATGTGGCGGCTGGCGATTTGGGCTTGAAGAAGTGGATGATTTATGTGTGGTACTGGTTTGGGCTTTATCACTTTGCTTATTTGCTGTTTTTTTTGGCCAATTGAACCAGTTGGTTGATTTTGATTATCTCCTGCAGCTGAAACACGTGATTTAGCCCTTGGTCAATGTTTATAAGCAACAAAGTCTTTTAGTTGCGCCGGCCTACAATTACCGTATATACTAGGGTCAGGTACGAAGGCTAGCCCGTCATGTCTTATCACCCGCGGTTGTTTTCCGTCTTCCTGAATCCACGCCGTGTGCGGAAAGTAGTTAATTATTGAACCGTTTTCAATTATTTTAAATTGTGCACCGAATACCCCAGGGTTTTTTGTTTTACGCGCTATTGTACCAGATTTTTTTGCCACTTGCTCAATGCGTTTTCCTAAATTAAGGTTTATTGTAGTTTGGGGTCCTTTAAAACGATCCTTTAGAAAACTAGTGGGGCTCTTACTAGCTTTTGTTTTTCCTGTGTTGTAAGCCAACCTTTCCATTTTCTTGTTCTAATTTTGGCAATATCGTTTTTCGGATTATCGGCGAGAAAAGATCGTTTAACCTTGTTCATATCATATGGTATGTTTTTAAGTGGAAGATGCGCACCTATTGGGAATTTCTGTAGTATCGCCGGGTCGAATTAGTCATTCTCGTCCATGTCCAGAACTGTTATTTTGTCCTTTGGGGTCATAGAGTGGCAAGGTGTTGACTTTTTCTTCTTCCATGATGTGCGCTCATTGTTGCCCGATGTCCTATCCTGATTGGTGTTTGTCTGTTCCATTTGCGTTGTCAGTCCGACTGGTTCGAATGATGGCTCTGGTAGATAAATGTTTTTATATACTAAACTCAGCTCGTCCTCGCTGTTTTGATCTTGATTCCAGATCGTTTCCGGTGTGAGTGCGGACTTCATAAGAATGTTTTCATTTAAAGACGAAAGTTTTGTGTTTTCCCATGATAGGTTAGAGCTTTTGGTGTTGTGCAGATATTACTTAGCCGTGTGTTTGGCCTACGCCCGTAGTGTGCCTCAAATGGCGTAGTTTTTGTTATTGCGTGCGGTGTAATACGAAATGTCTTGATTAATTCTGCCACGTCCGACGCGAGTTTATATGGTTTATTGTTTTTATCTATCTTCATTACCGACAAACAAGATTTTAGGGTTCTGATTAACCTCTCTACTATGCCCATGAGCGCTGGTCATCGACCGGTGCAAATATTAGCTTGGGCTTGATCACATCGAATATTTCGTGGTACGCCGTGATTTACGATATGTGTTTGCATAAATTTAATGATGGTATTGGCCTTATTATTGGTGAAAACTTTTGCCAAGGGGAATCGCGAGAAGCGATCTACGCCTACCAGAATGTACACTTCTTTGTCATTTTCGTCGGGTAATGGTTCGGCAAAGTCCAAATGGATTTCTTCATTTGGCTCTGCCACTGCGTCTAATGTGGAGGAATGTTTTTTTTCCGGAAATTACTTTAAGATTCTTACCCTTCGCGCGACGTTTTTTGCAGTTTTGGGCTGCTGTCACAATGTCTCTGTGTAAGTATGGGTACCATACGTGTTTCGCGGCCTCTAGCATGCCCCCTGCCCTATGTGAGTTAAGTGAATGGAATCTAGAATAATCTGCCTCAGTTGCTTAGGGATTACGGCTCTGTCGTCATACAATAACACGTTGTCCCTAACTGAAAGTCTATCGCGTACATCATAGAAATATGGTCCGTAGCAGGCTTTGATCTGTTCCGATTTTTGTTGACGAATCATGTTGAAGAGAGGTTGGAGATTTCGTTCTCGTTTCGTGGCTGCCGCAAGGAAATCTACGTCTAAGGCTTTTCTTAGATTTTTTCTAAATAATGATACGTACTCCTCCTCCATTGCTATTGCTTGACACTCTTCAGGCTGGTTATCCATTTGGCATATTTGAACCCCTTTTTTGTTGAGCGTAAAGCTGTCCTCCGACGGTATAATCTGATGCATTACGTCTTCAAACGAAAGGGTTTTAGGGGGCATTTCTTGTGGGGTATCTGTAAAAGAAGCGAAGTTTGTGGGTGGTATTGTCACCGTTGTCTGTTGGCCGCTGTGGCATTTCCGCAGAATCCTTTCGAATGGTGGGATCGCCATTCCCATTCTTAATTGTCTGCTCATTTTGAGGGTATTGTTCTTTGTATTGTAGCAATTGTCTTTGACGGAAGTAATACAATTTATATGTTTGTAAGTGGTTTCATTCGAAATTGAGGATATATTTGAAAGTAATTGATTATAAAGAGAATTTTTTTGCAAGATTTGATATTGAAGAGATATCGTGACTGTTTTCTAGAAGTGGACTTTTTAAAGAGAAATCAGTTTGTGTTGAGCGCGAACTTGAAGGAGCAAAGTTTTCGTTCCGGTCGAGCTGCAAAGTGCCTTGAAATCCGTTTGGATTTTTCTTTATTTCAACGTTAGCTATAGTGCTGTCTTGAAATTCAAGGCAGGTAATGATATCATCGATAAGTGCTACTACAAAATATTTGTCCCAGTATGCCGGGGATTGCGGTTTACCCACCGGATGACACGAAATATAATCTATCAGTCCAATTTTGCTGCCGGAAAGGTGTTTGATGTCAAAATCAAACAGGAGTAGACGGTCTATTCACCTTGTTAACCGGCTTTGATATGTTTTTTTTTTACTTTTATTGCTATTGAGGGCACTAACCAAAGCTTGATGGTCAGTTATTAATGTGTACAATAATACTTAGGGTGATCGATGGCCCACACCGCGGCCAAAAGTTCCATATTGGTTACCGAATATTTGGTTTCGCATGTATTTAAGAATCTGGAGGCATATGCCACAGTAGCCCATCCGTCTGGAGTTTCTTGTTCAAGGGCTGCATTGCATACTATTCTTGTTTCGCGGTTACCTGTACCCGATTTTCTGTAATATTTCGAACTGCGTTCAGAATACTTTTGAACTTTTGAAATTTTGACAATGAATATTAGAGTGGTTTTAGAGGCGTACACAATTGTGCCAGGTTTGGTATAAATTTATTCTGCTGGTGAACTGACCCCGTAAAACTTTTGAGTTGTTTGAAAGTTTTGGGGTGTTGAAGTTTCGTATCTGCATCGGTTTTCTTGTGCATTGGTATTGTTCCGCATTCATT